TACACCTGTCCCTGATTGGATGTAGGCTGGAGGTACATCAGGATGTACGCTTGTCCCTGATTGGATGTAGGCTGGAGGTACATCAGGATGTACGCTTGTCCCAGATTGGATGTAGGCTGGAGGTACATCAGAATGTATGCTTGCCCCTGATTGGATGTAGGCTGGAGGTACATCAGGATGTACACTTGCCCCTGATTGAACCTGATGGAACACTTAAGCTGCAATAAACCCTGATTCAGGCTCATCTTCTGGAAACCTAGAGATGGACCTGGCCAGAGCTCATCTACCAGGCCAGTAATTAAAGCTTGCTTCACATTTGGCTTTGAATTGTGGCAGTGGTCTTATTCTCGACTGGTGGGATCAACAGCAATTGCACAGGGTCAGTGTAAGGTTTAGAACTGGGACAGTTCATGCCTGACGCTAAGTTCTCAGCAGCTGCGTGCTCTCTTTAGGATTATTTTGATTTAGCTACCAAGTGTTTTATTCTGTGCATGTTACTACATTCAATTTACTATTTTTAAATTTTGATATCATGACTTAAATCCTTAACACAGGCCTTATCAGTTCCATATAAAAACACAATCCGTCCTCCTGCCTCAGGCTCCCAGGTGCTTGGAATTATAGGCCTGTGTTAGCACATCAAACTCCATCCAGTGCTTTTAAAGTAGGAAGTCTTGCAGGGAGCCTTCTGACCACCTTAGGCAATGCCAAGTTGTCGCCAGCCACTGTTATCCCAGAATAAAGCTGAGGAGTACTCTGAAAAGCCCAAGTGAGAGCCTATGACTCCATTGTCAAAAATAAGCCCACTGTCAGTGTCATTATTTGGATATAAAAAATAATCATGACAACACAATAGTGTCCCGAGGCCTGAACATTTGATCTGAAGTCATTCAGGGATGTTGCTACTGTAAAATATAATCCTTGTGAAATATCTCCTTTTCTATGACTAGTCATCCCCTTTACAGTGGGAAAAAAGAAGATGCTAGAATGGGCTTCGTCTCTACACTCAATGGTGGACAAAGTCCGTATACAGCATCCAAACCACCTCACATGACAGAAACGGGTGATCGTAGCTAGCCTGCAACCTAGAGAGAGAGGCCACAATCTAGTGAGGGGGCTAGACACCTTCCCTAGCAATTTTCTCAATGCCTAATGCCTAAGTGGCTTGTTGTTGCTACCCGTCTACTTCTTAAGACTGTAAGGTAAATCAACCTCCAGCGCTCTGCCTTCATACTCAACTGAAAGCAAAGCTAGAGGATGCTGTGCTGAAAAGCTGACCGCTGTGCTTTGCCCTGCAACCACAGAGCTGAAGAAAGTTGGAAGAAACTCTACAGTGAGGTCATCAGCAAATTTCCCCGCTGCTGTGATCTGCTAAGGGTGGTGGTGTTCCATCTGCATTTGATTCAGGGAGTCTGCCTTAACCAGTTCCTCCCTGTAGAAACTGCCAAAAAGAGGTGCTGTTTGTTTCTATACTATCACACCAGACATGGATAATGAGTTGCAAACCTGGAGCCCATCACAGCCCTGTTACATCCATTAGGTTTCCTGACTCCCTGTTCTCTCCGACTATAATAAAATTGGTATCTGCCTTCAAACTACACCACAAAAAGTTTTTTAAAATAAGGAATAAACCTCGGTGTTATAAAAAAAAATGCTTCATTTTACTAAAAGGAAGAAAGAAAGGTTCTAAATGACTTAAGGAAGACAAACACAAATTATCTCTCTTTAAGGCACAGTGTCGGCAAAGGGACAAGTTTGGAAAAACCGAAGACGCTGGGTGAGTTCTTCAGAGAATGTTACATCCACCCCTCAGCACAGCACAAGCGGGGCAATAACTCACCCCATGTTCCCATCCATCAGAAGAACCGTGTTATATATGTGGGAGAAGAGGAAGAGGAACAGAATGGTGCTGAAGAACATTGTCATCCACGATCCATGGTCTTCACGAAACATTTTTAACCGGAGCAACTGGCCTGAAACAGAAATATTAGGAGTCAATGTACACTGGCAACTGAAATTCATATATAGCTTTGCTTTATTTCAACCACAGGAATGCCTTTGGGAAAGCCCATTATCGAATGCCATTTTGTTTTTATATGAGAGAATGGCAAATAAAATCCACGACAACTAGGATCCCTCTAGAAAGTGGTATTAATGTGAGAACTGCTACCCAGGAATTATCCGCTACACTGGCATGAGGATGAATTGGAACACCACCCTTGCTCCATTTTATTTCATAAATGTGCTTTGGTTCACACTGAACCTACTTAAGGCAGATGACAAAAGGATGATAAGTAAGTTCTACATGGTTTCCTTTGGCTTCTGGACACCCATTCTTCAAACCACGGCCAGTTCCACTTACAAGGGGATACAGTTTCTTCAGGAATGTGTCAAGGAAAAACAAAGATGTTGTCATCAGACACAGAGGACTTAGCCTCTCTCCTAACTCTTAAAAGTTCATACAGCTGTGTGTGGGAGGGGAAGTCACATGTGTGTGTCAGAGAGAGCAGTGTGCTTATGGGAAAATATAATTTCCATTCTGATCCACAGAATCCATTTACAAAGACAAATGAAAAAAAAAAGAGACAAGATAAAGTGTTAAAATTTTAGGGAAAAGAAATATATATTAGGATAAATACTGGGATAAAAATTATTAATACCAGAAGTGTTCCAGAAAATGTTTAAATTTATGAATACAAGTATTCTGAGAGATAAGTATGATTATTTTCTATATATAAAACCCAAGAGAAGAAAAATTGTGAAAGTAAGCCTCTCTAAAGATGAACTTTGTCTGGTGTAGTTATTTCCATTCCTCAGAAAGTTTATCTAGTCAGCGATCGGGGGATGGATGGACAGAAGAGCTTCACAGTGGAGTAGAAGGCTGAGGAAGGCTCACAGCTGGGATCACATGCTGCTCTTACGGAGACCCTTGCTCAGTTCCAGGACACATGTCAGGCTCCTTACAACCTGGAACTCCTGTTCCAGAGGGATTCGATATCCTTTTCTGGCCTCTGTGGTCCCCTGTACGCATGCACACACACACACACACACGCACACACACATACACATGACCATACAAACATGATTAAACTAAAATATCTTTAAAATGAAGCCGACCTGAGATTTTACAATTAAATGTGTCAATACAAGAAAAAGCTCCCCTTTTTAACTACATAAAAGTCATGAAATACACAAGTATATGCACCTTAAACGATCTTGCTAGGGAAAGCTTATGAACAGAGAAAGGGTTGCTAAGACTTAACCTGTTTGTGGCTAGAGAAATGGCTCAGCACTTAGGATTCCTTACTGCTCTCACAGAGAACCCAAGTTTGGTTCAGGTGGTTCACAGCCACCAACTCCAGCTCTGGGGGGTCTAGTGCCCCTTCCTGGCTTCCACGGGTACCCACATACACATAATGCAAAAATAAAAATAAACTTTAAATTTTCAAGATTCAACTACTAAACTTGCTCCTTGTTTTTACTTTGATTAAAAGAGCCTATTAGCTGTCACTTGGGAACTGGGAAACGTAGGGTGAATCCACAAGAGTCTAGCAGAGGCTCAAAAGAATTTATTTATATGTAAAATAGAGATTTGGCCAGGAGCCAAGCAGAATAGAGTTGGGCGGGAAACCCAAGCAAAGATAAAGGGAAAAGGAAGGCAGAGTCTGGAAGATGCCAGCAGCCACTAAGGAAACAAGATGTGAGGTAACAAGCCATGAACCTTGTGATAAAAAATAGACTGATAGAAATGGATTAATTAAAGTTGTAAGAGCTAGTCAATAACAAGCCTGAGCTAATAGGCCAAACAGTTTGTAATTAATATAAGTTTCTGTGTGATTACTCGAGACTGGGTAGTCGGGAAACGAAAGCATAGTCTCTTGTTATAAGGAAACATTATCCATTATCCTATCCAAAACTTCAGATGAAGGGGAAAAGAAGCTATACATGACTTCTTGACTTACAGAGAAGCAAGGGGCAAATATGAAGGTCAGGAGGGGTCTGAGATAAATCAGCTGGTAAAAACCTTGCCTTGCAAACACAGGAATTGAATTACATCCCAGATCCCACATGTGTGTGCATTCTCTCTCTCTCTCTCTCTCTCTCTCTCTCTCACACACACACACACACACACACACACACACACACACCACAAACAAGCTGGGTACTTGGTTCATGCTGGTGAGATAGAGATAGGCATATCTCTATCACTAGGATATCACAGGCATATCACTGGCCAGCCAGTCTAAGCTAATCAGCAAGGACTGGTTCCCAGAAAGAGACCTGTCCCAAACAAACAAGGGGACAGGTCCTGAGAAACATTTGAAGTTACCAGATAAGGCCCATAGGCTGTGTACCTCCAAGAGTTGACTATGACCGCCATGTGCACACGTGAACACACAAACACACACACACACACTCACAAAGATTTCAAAAGGAAAGCGTGGCTGCATGGCTAATAAAATAATGCACAAAGCTCTACCAAAATTAATGATACTAGCACAACCTTACAAGGTTTTAGAACTTGCAGGTTAACTAAGTAATTATAGAAAGTCAGGAGAGCTGAAACCTCTCTCTGAGACACTGATGGGACTTTTACAGTAAAAAGATACTAAGCAGAGAATGTTTTGGGGCTAAAAATACGTGACATAGCCAGGTGGTGGTGGTGCACACCTTTAATCCCAGAATTTGGGAGTCAGAGACAGATGGATCTTGGTGAGTTCAAGGCCAGCCTGGTCTACAGAGTGAGTTCCAGGACAGTCAGGGCAGTTACACAGAGAAGCCCTGTCTCAAAAAAAAAAAAAAAAGACATAAACATCTTAAAGGAAATGATAAAAATATTAGTATATTCATTAAAGAAATAGATCTAATACATTCCTCTTATATGCCAGACAAAGTCCTAGTTGTCAGAGATGCAGCAGTGAGCAAGCAAGCAAATACTGAGGGTCAAACAGCACTGGGCAATGAGTGAAGATGTGGCCTAAATTGCATTCATGGACTGTCTCTGAAGGTTTTCTGTGCTGCACGTCTTTTCAGATGCAAAGCCCTGTGCATTTAATGCAGTAATCCATGAGGAACCGTGAGGACTTGCAGTCAGAATTCCGTTAAGACTCTAAATATGAATTTCATCTTCAATATCTATTTATGTCAAAATTTCACTAATAGATTGATTTTTACACTGGTGATTTAGGAGTGCTCCGCAAATAAAGCATTGTGAGTTGACCATGCGCTCCCTGAAATAATACAAAGTTAGTGAAAATAGAAATGTGACAGACCCGTCACACTGTCCTCCACAAGCTCACTGGCAGTAATCCCGGGCCTTAGAAACATCAGGGTGAAATGGCAGGTTACCATGGTGAGATCTTCACTGGAAGAGCATAACACACGTTCAGCCCTGCGGTGACACAGTGGATGAGTCAAGACACATAAAACCTCCCCTAAAGCAACTTCAAGATTAACTCAACGAATAGCCACCAAACGCCAGAAACATGTATACATGGGCTGCCATCAACTGAACAACCCCAAAAATGACTTTTCCATACAATCTGATCAAATCCAGATCCTCAGTACACAAGGATGTCTGATGAAAACATGTCTCTGCCCTACAGAGTGGCCATGCACATTGCTTGCCCAGAACACCAGTGGCATAATAATTACTCTCTTGGTATAAGGATTAATAGTAGTCACCTCATGTTTTTCTAGTGAATTTTCCCTAGGGCAGTAAAATGACAGTGGATTGGGTTTCAGAACCTTCCACGAGTACCGAAATCCATAAACACTCAAGTCTGTCACATAAAGAAGCATGGCATTGGCATGTACCCCACATAGATCCTCCCATACACTCTTAGTCATGTCTAGAATACCTAAAATCCCTAAGCTGTGGAAACAGCTGCTGCATTGCTGGGGGCGGGGGTGATCAGAGGAGAAAATCCTGTATGTGTTCAGTACAGGTGCAATGTTTTTCAGATATTTTATATCCATTGTTGGCTGAGTTCACAGATATGGAACTCACAGATAGAGGGCTAGCGCGTGCCACCACTGCTACAGACCACAGAATCCACATCCTTCTAATGCTTTCTACTCAGCGAATCTCAGGGGAGACCTCTGTGACAAGAGGATTCATGGAACAACAGAGGCAAAGACATCACTAAGAGAGTTGTATTTCTGATGCAGTTAAAAATATTTTTAGTTTGATCCCATATATCTTTATAAATCTATATGCACACTTATTTTCATAATAAAATACATCCTGTTCTATATGGACTATCACCTTCATTATGACAAAGCAATTGAAAAATAAAGCTTAGTCATTTAAGCGGCATCCAGACCATTATGTGTGGAGGTGAGGGTGGAAAAGCACGGGTATTGAGGACTTACAAGAGTTAAAGTCAGGACCTATCAGGCATGTCTGCAACCAACAGGCCATGTGCAGCCAAAGGGAGCTCTGGGTGGGGCCCAGTATAAAATGTAAGTATCCTTAAAGCTTTTTGAAATGTTTTTCAATTGTTTTCAGAACTTGCATGGTTCTCAAGCGCGGACTTTTTTTTTTTTCAGGGCCAGTGGCTTTTTAAACAAGCAAATGTTAACATTGTTTTCCGTAATAGCATAGCAACTGCTTACTGATGGCAAAGTCCAAGCCATGCACAGAATATTTTTATATTTGCCTTCTTAAAAACATTTGATTTATGTAAAGGCCTGGAACTTTTATGCAAACACATGTACTATAATAACAGTGATTCTTCCCCACAAATACTGTATTTGAGGAAATCCCAAAAGCTTTCTTCTTTATTAATTTTTTTAATTTATTTTACATACCAACTGCAGTTCCCCTCTCTCCTCTCTTTCCATTCCTTCCTCTCACCTCCCATCTATTCCACCGCCCCATCCACTCCTCCTCCATCCAGAAAGAGGCAGAACTTCCATGGGTGTCAACAAAGCATGTCATATCATGTTTTGGCAGGACCAAGCGCCTCTC